TTGTCTATAGGATCACTTATAAAAATTTGAATAACTGTCAGATTTCAACAGCTATCAGACACTCTTAGCACACGGCAGCTGCTCATAAAGAAAATCAGCTGCTGTCCAACATTTCACTAGGGCTGGATCACATTACTGCAGGGAAATAAGTTGTGAATGACATTCGATTTTAAAGCCGTGGTCAGACTAGAGTTTGAGCGTGTGAAATTCTGTCCTATGGCGCTGTGAAAAAAAGCAGGATAAAATAAGATATTTAGACACTGATAGAGGCCACACGGTGGCTCAGTGGTTAGCACTTTCACCTCACAGCAAGAAAGTCGTTGGTTCGAGTCCTGGCAGGATCAGTTGGCATTTCTATGTGGAGTTTGCATGTTCCCCCCGTGTTGCTGTGGGTTTCCTCCGGGTGCTCCGGTTTCCCCCACAGTCCAAACACATGCGCTATAGGTGAATTGGCTGTAGCGTATGTGTGTGTGTGAATGAGTGTGTATGGGCGTTTCCTAGTACTGGGTTGCAGCTGGAAAGGCATCCGCTGTGTTAAACATATGCTGGATAAGTTAGTGGTTCATTCCGCTGTTTTGACTCCTGATGAATAAAGGGACAAAGCTGAAGGAAAATGAATGAATGAATGAATGAATGAATGAATGAATGCATGACAAATAAAGCGAGCGATTGCTTCACATTTTAAATCTCTGTACAGAGAGGTTTTTCTTCTATTGGTCTCACACAATCACGTGATGCAATTTCGCAAGTCAGAGTTTAACAAGCTTGGACTTTGGAGTCAAAGTTTACCAAAGGTTTACCAAACTTTGAAAGTTTCGCAGAAATGTGTTGCATGAGTTTGCGTTTTGAGTCTGCAGCATTCACATGCAGCACCGCCGCTTCCTATACACTGAGTATGCACACTGCGTAGGGCACCAACTTCGAAGAGGGGTACCATCTCGGTGGCTCAAAAATAAATTATAATTCATGGCTACTGTTCAGCTAGCATCCATCTGGTGATTTATGTTTTTTTTTTACTCTGAAAGCTTACAGATTTTATAAAACTAAACTAAACATAAAAGTGCAAAAAAAAAAAAAATGTACAAAAGCACACACATTGCTTTAACTGGTGCTCAGCCAAATAGGAAAATTTACAAAATATATATTCAAAAAGATGAAAATAAATAAATAAATAAATAAATAAATAAAAAGTAAATAAATAAATAAATAAATAGATAAATAAATAAATAAATAAATAAGGCTGACACAAAGCGTCAATAATAATAATATTAATAAATAATAAAGAATAATATTTCAAATAAGTTATAAAATATTATATACTAATATTAAAATTTAAATAATAAAATTCAATTATTAAAATAAAAAAACTAAATAAGTTATAAAATAAAAATATATTAAAATAAAAATAATAAAATTAAATGTTTAAAACTAATAAAATAAAATAAGCTATACGATTTAAATATATTAAAATAAAAATAATAAAATATATTTATTAAAATAAAATAAATTAAGTTATAAAACGAGTAATAAAATAAAATAAAATACATTAAAATACTAAACTTTTATATTGCTAATATTAAACTAAAAATATTCAATAAAATTAATAAAACAAAATAAAATAAAAAAATAAAAAAAAAATAAAAAAAATAATGCAAGCAGGTAGGCAACCTGAAAAAATGCAAGTTTTGTGTGATTCGAACATTTAGAAATGAGACTTAACTGACAGTTGTTGGTGATTTATTGGTGATTCCAAATCTGAAATTTAATTGTAATGTTGGCAAACAGTTTTGGAGAATTTGATGTTTTCCTATTCAAACCGAATGCCCGAGGACACCATTTAAAGACAGCCACAGAGTGAATTGACTTGCCCTTAAAATCCCCATAAAATCAAAACTAACCATGTTGATTTTGTTAGCTCACATTGCTAGTTAAGTAGCATGCACAATCTGTTTCAATTAAATTCTCGGATTATGTCTGGCTGAAGAATTGGTCGTGGTTACCATACTTAACCACGCCCCTTAAGCTGTCAGCTCTGACAACAAACAGAAATGGTGAGGAGGAGGTGTATGTTAGGTTGTTATAACTCTCCCCAAACCCTTTTCCCAATCTTTTTGACTGAAATGCTTACTTTACTACATCCAATCAGCTTGCAGTAGAAAAAACAAGCCACGCCCACTGTTTCTTCATTTAATATTCTGTCTCTAAACTGCAGTGAATGGTGGCAGCTTCCGGTTCATGCGGACTTTAATGAGACTGTGCTATTACTTCACATGGCAGACGTTACATGATTCCGACATCCTCTCTCTATGTGAGGTCTGGTCAGTAATGACTGAGGTGCTGCTGGAGGTGTGAGGAGGAACTCAAGGTGTGTTCACTCACTGACAGTCATTGGCCTCCCTGTGGTTTAATTAGCCGAAGCCGCGCTGCAGGACTCACAGATTCAGCCACTGCGCCTCAAACACTGCATGACACACGCAGGCTGTCGGACGCTAGACATGGATGGGTCAGGAGAGTCCATTTTTATTCAGATCTTACTTATCCTCTCTCAGGAACGCAGGTCAAGTGTCTAATCACAGCGATGCAGAGGCACTTCAGGTGGGACTGTGACCTCTGACCCCTGAGGGGGTTAAAGTTCACCTCCCTCACCTCTCCAGCACAGCGGACCAATTACTGTCACACTTCACTGTTGCTGTGGCAACCAGAAGAGAGAGCTTTAATTCATGCAGAAGACAAGAGAGAGAGACGGTAATGCACAAGGTCACAGGGTCAGAGGTCACAGCTATCATGTTAGGGCTCTTCTTGTGACTCGGTTTATTTTAAAAAAAAATCTAATAAACGCACACACACATACACTCACCGGCCACTTTATTAGGTACACCTGTCTGACTGCTCGTTAACGCAAATTTCTAATCAGCCAATCACATGGCAGCAACTCAATGCATTTAGGCATGTAGACATGCTGAAGATGAGCTGCTGCAGTTCAAACCGAGCATCAGAATGGGGAAGAAAAGGTGATTTAAGTGACTTTGAACGTGGCAACTGCGTGATGCTATCATATCAATATGGAGCAAAATCTCTGAGGAATATTTCCAGTATCTTGTTGAATCTGTGCTATGAAGGATTAAGGCAGTTCTAAGTCAAAAGGGGGTCCAACCCGTCACTACCCTGCAGGCACAGGACATCAACATGACGTCAAAGTAACATTGTCTTTAGATGATGGCTAGATTTTGGTCACCTGACGTCATGACCTAAATCTAACCAAATATTAACGTCTTATGATGTTGTGTGCCTGCGAGGCAGTGGCGCAGTAGGAAGTGCTGTCGCCTCACAGCAAGAAGGTCGCTGGTTCGAACCTCGGCTCAGTTGGTGTTTCTGTGTGGAGTTTGCATGTTCTCCCTGCCTTCGCGTGGGTTTCCTCCGGGTTTCCCCCAAAGTCCATAGACATGCGGTACAGGTGAATTGGGTAGGCTAAATTGTCCATAGTGTATTAGTGTGTGTGTAAATGTGTGTGTGGATGTTTGCCAGAGATGGGTTGCGGCTGGAAGGGCATCCGCTGCTGGATAAGTTGGCGGTTCATTCCGCTGTGGCGACCCCCGATTAATAAAGGGACTAGGCTGACAAGAAAATGAATGAATGAATGTTGTGTGCCTGCTGGGTAGTAAGGTGTACCTAATAAAGTGGCCGGTTCAAATGTATTCTTCTTTTTAAATAATAAGGTTCCATTTTTCAGACATGTCTTGTGTCGGTGTTTTTAAAAAAACACAATAAGTTTTAAGAAATAGATTATTAAGTAAAAAACTTGAATTTTAGTCTCTAAATGGAAATATTTGTATAGAAATTTGATCTCAATGTTTAGAAAAAAGAAATATTCATTTATGTGCAAGCATTTTATAAATTTCAAGGTAACACTTTATTTTTATGGTCCATTTGAGTATTAGTAGACTGTCTGCTTAATATCTGTTGATACTGCTGCTTCAACAGATATTTAACTGACTATAAGAAATTTTGCAAGTACATGTCAACTTACACTAACCCCAACCCCAATTCAGTTGTTCTGAAACAGAGATTACAACTGTTACATTGTTGCTGTTTGCTCTTGGAGCGGTTCGCTTTCACACTGCAAAGTTTCTAATCGGACTAAAAGAGCTAAAACAAGTCACGTGTGAGTAAACTCTCCTCACATTGGTCAGAGTGTCAGGGTTTATTTTGCAGCGTCCCGCTCAGCTGTCAGGAGAGGTGGTGGTTTGGTGGTGATTGACAGGGTGCGCGCGTGACGTGTCTGAGGAGAGATGCGGTGGGGAGGGGTGAGAAGGGTGCGCGACGATGCCTATTTGAGGACGGGGAGGGAGACGCGAGATTACCGGGAGATCATCAATCGTTTGCGGGCATCCGGAGACTCGCAAAACTTCCCACCATAATCATAATTCTCTCTTCATATAGCCGTATGCCTATTACATATCCATAAAACACTGTTATATAACTGCGCTCGGATCGGATCGCTTTCTCACTGCAATCGATCCGCTCCAGGGTTCGTTTTATCGAGCCAAGACCACCTCATTCAAGCGATCTCGGAGCGATTACTTTGGCGCGGAACAGAGCGCGATTGCCCTGTTCACATATGCCAAACAAACCGCGCTAACTGGGCAAACGAGACACGTTCCGAAACAAAAGTGTAGGTGTGAAAGCCCCCTAACAGTCTACTTATAATCTAATGAGAATTAGTTACAATAGAACTTAACGGACCATCAAAATAAAGTGTGACCAATTTCAATTCACTAGTGAATCCTAAAAAAGTCAACATTTTCATCAAAATTTATATTAAGTGACAAAAAATGTCAATATTACTCTCAAAACTGAGAATAGTAATGTTTCTTTATTAGAAACCTCTCTATTAGAAAGATTTCTGAGAGTGACACTGCATGGCTTATAAATGATGTATGTGTATACTGAAAAGCTGAAAAGACAGATAGATAATCATGCGCATGGATGGATTGACTCACCATCAGTAGTTCTGCTCTTGGTCTTTGAGTGTGATTTATGGTTCAGTTCGGTCCGTTGGTTTGGTGCATGTTCTGTGGGGAACAAATACCATTATTGCTACATGGACAAAAACAAAAAACAGTCACAATATTCTTCTTGCTTGTGGAAGAACTGTTAATGGCATTACAATTGCATTAACAAAGAAAAATGAAGATTTAAATGAAGATTAAAGCAGGGGTGAATACACATTTTGGTTTGCCAAGATCAACCACAACCATTTATTGTATAATAATTCATTCAAATAATTTTTTTAGACATCCCTTATTTATCAGGGGGTCACCACAAAAGAATGAACCGCCAACTAATCCAGCATATGATTTATGCAGCAGATGCCCTTCCTGCTGCAAAACATTTTCAGATGCAAAAAGATGTTATTGTAATGAACAGGAGCATGTTTCATGCATTTGCCAAAATACTTCAATGGCTTGTTCATTCATTCATTCATTCATTTGTTTTTGGCTCAGTCCCTTTATTAATCAGGGGTCGCCACAGTGGAATGAACCGCCAACTTTCCCAACATAGTTCAATGGCTTGTTCATTCATTCATTCATTTTGTTTGGGCTTAGTCCCTTTATTAATCAGGGGTCACCACAGTGGAATGAACTGACAACTTTCCCAACATAGTTCAATGGCTTGTTCATTTATTCATAAATTTTATTTTAATTTTTTGGCCTAGTCCCTTTATTAATCAGGGGTCGCCACAGTGGAATAAACCGCCAACTTTCCCAACATAGTTCAATGGCTTGTTCATTCATTCATTCATTCATTCATTCATTCATTCATTCATTCATTCATTCATTTATTCATTTTGTTTGGGCTTAGTCCCTTTATTAATCAGGGGTCGCCACAATGGAATGAACCGCCAACTTTCCTAACATAGTTCAATGGCTTGTTGTTTTTACCAAATCCATAGCTCCTACAAACTTATTCAAACAAACAGCATTGCATAAATAGGTTTAAAATCAAAGTTTCTCCTTAATCTGATGTATGGATTTTAGTGAATCATGCAGCAAAATAAGTAAGCTGGCATACGCCCTTAGATGGCATGTACAATATTTACAGTGGAGATACATCAAATTTTCAGCCGAACATTTTTGTAAATGATTGGCTGAAAAGTCGGTTTATTTCTACTGTAAATCCAATGTAATGTCTGAAAATTTCTATATATATATTTCTATATATTCATAATATATATATAAAAAATTATAAAATTTTATTTTATAATTTATAATTTATATATATATATATATATATATATATATATACATATATCTATATATACATATATATATATATACATACACATATATACATATATATATACATATATATATATATAATTTTTCGCAAAATTGTCAGCAAAATTTCTGGGAATTACCACAACAAAATTCATCTTGCAAAAAAAAATTCACAAAAAAAATTGTGAAACTAGGGGGTCTGACTAACAAACATAGACTGAGCAATTGTACAGTGGTAGTTTATAACGAGACCCCATGATGAGAAAGACAAAATAGAAATAGCCACGCTGCATTATTAGGACACCAGTGCAGGATTGTGTGAGGTTGAAAAGAAAAGACTCAAATTCTTGAAATACTGTGTGCAGAAATTGTGCAGCTGCTTGGTGAATTCAGCCTCAATCTCTTTCTCTGTTTTATTTATGACACAGAAAGTTTTGGTGGCTGCCTGTCTCTGTCTGTGTCACAAGGGAATAAAACGGCAAATCAATTCACAGCCCACTGTCTGTGTGTGTGTGTGTGTCAGATTTTTTTCTCCATTCATTGCGGGAACAATGTCCTTTGTACATTTCTTTCATTTTTATCCTTTCCTTCCATTCAGTCCGTCCATCTTTCTGAACATAGGGTCAACCAGAGAACAAATAACTGGCCACTATCAGAAACACCGCCAAAATAAAACCTCAAACCAATTTCCTGCATGTTTGCTCTCTGATCTTCCCCTGAGGGAGTGTGTGTGTGTGTGTGTCTTTTTAACAACGAGACAGCTGAAATGAGAAACTGTTTGTGTACGCCCCGAGGAAAGACAAATCACAAATGAGATCTCTTTAAAATCTCAATTGTCTCTACTAGAGAGTGTCGAGATTAAACGTAGAGTTTTGCATACGTCTCCTCAGATTCTCCAGACCTCAGTGATCTCATATATGTCTCCTACTGCTGTTCAGAAGAGAAGCTCATCAGCAATTCTATATACAGAGCATTGAAACTACCAAAGATAACTTTTCATGTGTTTTAGACATTCATTAACAGAGAGGAAAACTTTAGAAAATGGGTTTTAAAGAGTAAGGTTTTGGTCACACTTTATTTTAAGGTACAATTCTCACCTTAACAATGACTTTTCCTTCATAGACTCCTAATTTGCTGCTTATTAACAATTATGGAGGTAGTAGAGTTGGATTTAGGCATTACAGTAGGTAAGATTAGGGATGTCATTCATACATTTTCCTTCAGCTCAGTCCCTTATTTTTCAAGGGTCGCAACAGCGGAATGAACCGCCGACTATTCCAGCATATGTTTTGTGCAGTGGATGCCCTTATAGCTGCAACCCGGTAATGGGAAACACTCATACTCTCTTGTATTTACACAAGCTCATACACTACAGCCAATTTAGTTCATCCAATTCACCTTTTAAGAGTTCCCACTTAGATATTGCGTGGCATTTATAGCAGGTTTGGCATGCTGTCCCGGGAGAGAACCCTGAGCTTGGAGATAATTGAGCTCAAGGTAAATTTTAAGGGGGTCCGAGATCAGGTATTTCTCAAGAGCTCCCTTTAGAAAAGGGACGACAAGGAGGAGATGGGGTGGAAGGGGGGATTCTGCCCAAACAAAGATAGGGCAGTAGGGAAAATCCATCCATTAATTGTAAGCCTGGATCAATCTGATTGGATTATTACTGATTACAGATGAGCAACCAGCAGTGCTCAATCATATCACATGCTCCTCTCAAAATTAGTTTATGAAACTTCACTTAGCGCCTGTGTTTAAACCGTTGGGGGTGGGGGGGGGGGGGGGGGTGGGGGGGGGAACTAGAGTACCCAGAGGAGAACATGCAAACTCTACACAGAAATGCCAACTATCCCAAGCTGGGATTCTAACCAGCTACCTTCTTGCTGTGAGGCGACAGTGCTAACCACTGCACCACCGTGCCACCCAGGATTAGAGATGTACTGTATTATAAGATCAATACGATTATGTATTTTATAAGTACCAATATACTGCCAATTTCTTAATAATAGACAGATAATAAGCCAGTTAGAAAAAAAATCCATGAAATTAACATTAAAGAAATACGGCAGCTGTGGGTGCCAGTACTTTACCATTAAAAAAATGGTACCAATTCAAATTCCTTTTTATTATAGTAAGCAACTCATTTTCATTTTGTTAAATGTTAATAAACCAATACTTTGTTACACAGACAAAAGCAAACCAAGAAAGCGTCAAAAAAAGAAGCATCATGCAGGAAATTTTCCAAAAAGTATATTTACGGTTATTCACCATATATTAAGTAAATCTACTGTTAACAAAGTTACAGACTTTAACAACCCAGGCACATTCTGAAAACTTACCTCTGTATACATTTTGGGAGAGCACCAAATACATCTCAGGAGCTAAGTTTATATATATATATATATATATATATATATATATATATATATATAGTTGAAGTCAGAATTATTAGCCCCCTTCGATTTTTTTTCTTCTTTTTTAAATATTTCCCAAATGGTGTTCAACAGAGCAAGGACATTTTTACAGTATGTCTGAAAATATTTTTCCTTCTGGAGAAAGTCTGATTTGTTTTATTTCAGCTAGGATAAAAGCAGATTTTTATTGTTTATGAACCATTTTAGGGACAAAATTATTAGCCTATTTAAGCTATATTTTTTCTCGATAGTCTACAAAACAAACCACTGTTATACAATAACTTGCCTAATTCCCCTAACCTGCCTAGTTAACTTAATTAACCTAGTTAAGCCTTTAAATGTCACTTTAAGCTGTATAGAAGTGTCTTAAAAATATCATTTAAAATATTATTTACAGTCATCACGGCAAAGATAAAATAAATCAGTTGTTAGAAATGAGTTATTAAAATTATTATGTTTAGAAATGTGTTGAAAAAATCTTCTCTCCCTTAAACAGAAATTGGGGAAAAAATAAACAAGCGGTCTAATAATTTAACGGGGCTAATAATTCTGACTTCAACTGTATATATAATTTTTTTTTTTGCAGTTTTTGTTTTCATGAATCCACCAGAGGCCGTTGTGTATGCTTTTGAGATCTCAAATTTCTCTCGCGAGCGCCATTCATACCTGCTGTTCTCTCATAAATCCACCAGAGGCCGCTGATGACTGACTGACTGACTGACTAAATAACAGACTGACTGATTGACTGACTCACCTTCCTCCTTCCCTAAACCCAACCAACAGTGTTTTCAAAAGCAATCCAGTAAAAGAAAAGTCCTAGCCCGAATCTTATCATGTTTTCAGATTTTACCACATTCTCACCCTGTTATTTACTTGTTGATTTTGCTTTGTGGCTTTTCTTTTTTGTTTACCTGCTTTCTTGAACTGTTCTTTGTTGGACTCGATACCTGCCAACACTCCCATTTTGCTCAGCTGGTAAACGTGAATAGGAAAGGCATCAGACCGCCCCATAGTGTTCGTTTTAAAAACGAAATGCAGCCATACGTACCTCTGGCTACATAGTTCAATAGCTCCAGAAATGTATATAAGGCTACGTTTTCAGATTGAGCATGTGTTGGGTTTTTACTGTAATATTTTTACAGTCTTTTTACTACTTAAATCACAGTCATTTGCAGTGCCGTGTAGATAATAGTGTGAATTGGGTCTTAATCAAAAGTTTTCTTCAGTGAAATGTTCAGTGTATATGCCAGGGGCGCCCCCAAGGGGTGGCCAGGGGTGGCCACCCCTCAGTAAACTCTGGCCACCCCTGTGGCCACCCCTTTGGCCACCCCAATATAATTTTGCTGATGACATTATTGATTTAAATGTACTTATAAATTC